GCCACTGGGGGAAAAAAGGCTTATAAACTGTTGCCAGTTTTACCTGGTCACTCCCAAATATTTCTCACTGGTTCTAGCCTATAAAAGGAATTATATTCCACCTTTGCTGATGAAAGATGGAACACTTAACTGGAAACAGATAGCCTATACCCTAAAAGAGTTGTACAACCCCACCAATTTATATTGTCACAAAGTTGGTCAGACAAAAGGAGAATAAACATAAGACTTAAATGAGCTAACATTGTCATGGATGGAGAGAGAAGATTTAATATGCTAAAATGAGCATCTGGGTGTGGTGTAAAATATGCTAGCTAATCAAAGACAGGGCTTAACTTTAGCTTAGATTGATAAAGTAAAGGGCCAGCATTTCTTGGTGTATAATAGAGGGAGCAATGCATAGGCTCATTGTTACAGAAATGTTTGAATGAATCAGTTATACCTAAACTGCTCAGTTACCCATTCATTTTTATCCTCAGAGAATATAGGAGAGAACATTCCATTCACCTAGAAAGAAACTCCATTCACCCAAGAGGATACTCCAGTTACCAAAATTAAGCACAAGATTGGTGAGGAGGAGGCACTAGTGTCTTTGTAAGCTCTATGATGATTGTCCTTTATAGGCTGGACATAACCATGTAGGATGCTGCAGTGAAGTCGGGTTCCCTGATATGAATTAGAATGATGGGATCCAAGCACAGATAAAGCTTGTTGAATGTGCTTGCCTATCAGATAAAAAATTGAGCAAATAACCATACAAATCAGAGAAACAGAATGGTGATTGATGGATTGATTCACATGTATCTTTGGCAGATGCTAATCACTGAATCAGTGATGGGTTACTAGAAATGAATTATATGGACAATCTGTTATAGTGCTACTTTACATATATATATGTGTGTGTGTATTATATATAGATATAGATATAGATATAGATGATATAGATATAGATATAGATATAGATGATATAGATAGATATAGATAGATCTATATACATATATAGCAAGTTAAACTATATTTCTGCCCTGCAGATATGTATATACATAGATACATATATATAGATCTATCTATCTATCTATATCTATCTATGTATATACATATCTGCAGGGCAGAAATATAGTTTAACTTGCTTTTCTAAGGATTCTTAAGGTCTTACAGAACTTCAGACCTAAGCTATGTCTCATGCTCAGTACCTCAACTGAAGGATAGCAAGTGCCACTGAAGTAGACTCTGGCAACATAGCCAAATGTGTTACATGTACCTTCCTGAAGCCTCCTCAGAGAGATCTGAAGCCATTTACCAGTATGACTTTACTAATGAAAGAAAGATATGCAGACCTTTTAGAAGTTATTGGTTATTAGCTCTGAACTTATGATTATCTTTGAAATAACTCTGTTCCACCAGTAAGAATACAAGATTATTTAAGTTTGGTAGATTGGTCATAAATCTATGTCTTGTTTTATTTTGCTTTCCCCCACAGTTCCTGAATATTTAGTGTAGTCAGTATACTTAGCAATAAACCGAATTTCCACATTGGAATAAGATCTTATAAAGGGAAGCCCAATTGGAAGACAATGAAATGTCCCTTCATACTCATTCAGACTTTAAACTGAAAGCAATTCTGCATTTCTAGGGGACTTCTAGTGTTTACCATGCCCTAGAAAGGCTTGAGCATTGCAGGGGTAGTGATTCAAAGCATATTCCCATTTACTTCACCAGACTGGAAAATGCAAATGCCCTAGAAAATTATAGAAATAATAGAAGGTTACCGGAAACTTAAGCATATTTTAATACAAATTTTAATAGCGATTCTAGATTTTGGATCTCTATAAAGACAGATAGACATAGCCCTTGGTACTTAGAGAGCAACTGTGACATAGCAAATAAGTCTTTTTTAATCTTAATCAATGAAATGCCCAGTTGAATTTGTCCAACTTTTTTAAAAGATATTTTAAAAGACCAATATTAAAAAATATCAATTCTTCTCAAATCAATCTACAAATTCAATAGAATTTCAATTAAAATTCTGTCTGGTCTTTGATTGTTTAGATATAGGGATTTATGCAGAACATAGTTGATTGTAACAGAAAAAAATATGTCAAATACAACTAAAGCTTTCTAAAGATTAAAAATATGAGATGTCTCACCCTACCGGTATTGAGATATTTGAAAGGTAAGTAATTAAGATTTCTGGTACCGGCATGACAAATTAAACTAAGTAAACAGAATAGAAGCAGAGAAATAGACATATTCACATATGGAATTTGATCTGCAATCACGAAAGCATTGCAGATCAGGCAGATCTATGTATAAAAGGCTGACTTATTCAATACATGTAGCCAGCATAATTGGTTATTCATATGAAAAAATAAACTCAAATTACTACCTAATATTACACATAAAATTCCAGATAGATTAAAATTTAAATATAAATGGTAGAACTTTAAATATTTTAAAAAGAAATAGAAGAAACACATTTTTCCCCTAAGGTAACATTTTTTTCATTTTTATTAAATTTATTGGGATGCCATTGGATAATAAGACTATATATATCTCAAGTGTACATTTCTATGATAAATGGTCTTCATATTGTATTGCATGCCCACCACCCAAAGTCAAATCATTCTCCATCACTATAAATTTGACCCCCTTTACCGTTTACTACTCTGCCAACCCCCTTCCTTCTAGTAACCACCATATTATTATTGCCTATGTCTATGAGGGTTTTTTATTTTTCTTGTTTGTTCATTTGTTGCTTTCAATTTTATACGCCACATATGAGTGAAATCATATAGCTCTTAGCTTTTCTGGCTTACATCACTTAGCATGATATTCTCAAAGTCCATCCAAATTGTCACAAATGGCAGTATCTCATCATTTCTTATGGCTGAGTATTACTCTACTCTATGTATGCACCACATCTTCTTTCTCAAATCATCTATCAAAGGACACTTCAGTTATTTCCATGTCTTGGCCACCATGAATAATGCTGCAATGAACATAAGGGTGCATGTGTCTTTGCAAATAAATGTTTTCAAATTTTTCATGTAGGTACCCAGAAGAGGACTTGCTGGGTCATATGGTAACTCTATACCTAATCTTATGAGGAATCTCCATGCTGTTTTCCACAGTGGTTGTAAAAACTGACTGGGTCAAAGAAGAGATCAAAAGCTATATAGAGACAATTTCAAAACTTTTGGGATGCAGGGAAAGCAGTAATATGAGGGAAGTTCATATTATTAGAGGTCCATCTGAAGACACAAGAAAACTCTCAAGGAAACAACCTAGCATTCCATCTTAAGAACTTGAAGAAGAAGAACAGAAGCACCCAAAGTCAGTGGAAGAAAGGAAATCATAAAAATTAGAGCAGAATTGAATGAAATAGAAAACAAAAAGACTATATAAAAAAATAATACAACAAAGAGCAAATTCTTTGAAAAGATTAATAAAATTGACAACCCCTTGGCTAGACTCATTAAGGAGAAAAGAAGAAACACATATTAACAAAATCAGTAATGAAAGAAGTTACCACAGACATCACAGATATACAAAGGATTATATAGAAGGCTATGAAAGACTATATACCACCAAGTTCAATAACAGAAGAAATGGATACACTCCTAGAAATATATAACCTTCCTAGACTAAGTCATGAAGAATTGGAAAATCTAAATGGACTCATTAACAGTGAGGAAATTGAAACAACCATCAAAAATCTACCAAAAAATAGAAGTCAAGGACCAGATGGCTTCACCAGTGAATTCTACCAAGTGTTCTAAGAAGATTTGATACTTATCCTTCTCAAACTCTTCCAAAATATTAAAGAAGAGGCACTAAATACTTCCTAATACATTTTGTGAGGCCAACATAGCTCTGATACCAAAACCTGGCAAGGATAACACAGAAAAAGGGAAAATTACAGACCAATATCTCTCGTGAATACAGATGCAAAAGTCCCAAGGTAAACATTTTTTAAAAAGATTTAAAAAGCAAACCATGTACAAACTAATCAATTAATTCAATTAAAATTAACTTTTTAGCACTCAAAACTCATCATAAAAAAGGTGACATGTCAATACCGGTAGAAGATATTTTCAGTACACACAACTAACAAAATAATTAACAATTAGAATATATAAAGATTCTTACAAATCAACAAAAGGAGGACATTAAAAGGTAGATGACATAAGTAGGCATTTCTAGATAGAAAAAATCAATATCTTGAAATGTATAAAAAAATACTCAACCTTATAAGTTATCATGAGAATACAGAGAAAAACCACAAGGATATATAATTTTACACACAGCAGCTAAGCTCAAATCGGATAATATGACAATGCAAATAGAAATATTTATCTTTTGCTGAATGTGAATGTTCCATTTTCAAAGCAAAATAAAATTAAAAAACCCCCACATGATATAGTAAATGTGAAAATGTCAACCTAATGGTTCAACTAATCTATTTCTAGGTATAAAGCTTAGAGTAACACTAGTACTTATGGATTTGGAAAAATATTTAAAAACTTGAATAGTATTATTATTTCTAAGAAAGAAGAGGTAAATAACCCCAAAATCCATGTCCCAGAGAATAATAAATAAATGTTGGCATATATTTAAGTGGAATATTCTATGATAGTTGAAAATAAACAACAGATAAAAATGCATTAATAGATAATGCAAAAATGCCAAGTTCAACAAAATAAACTCTTTCAGAAGACTACACACAATATTATTTCAGTTATATTAATATGCAAACTAAAGAATATTTTGTTCAGGCATACATAGAGTCAGTCCTGTATATTAAGGGCAAGGGCGGTAAAGATAAATTCAGGATATTCAATGCAATTGGTTGGGAGAGTGGAGGAGTACTTGGGAACAAGCACAAGGGCAACAGTAATGTTCTGCTTCATAAGTTGAATAATGAATACATGTATGTTCACATTGTTATCTATTACATTTCACATGTAAAATAATTGAGTCAGTAAAATATAGCCTCTAATCTGTTTGTCAGGTCCACACAGGCTCCATTATTTTTGTAAGGTTTAGAGGAACACTCAGTTTCAATTTCACACAAAAGTCCAGAAAACCCAGGTCTGCAAACACACCTTTTAAACAAGAAATTTAAAACTCCATTGATATAAATGTATAAAGTCAAGGCTTCAATAATTGTAGCATGGCAAATTGTTAATAATAAAAAATGTTCAATTTGTCAATTGAAATTATAAACTTGCATACGTTTAGATACATCTAGGTGCATAAACATGTGTCTAGATATTTTCTTTTTTTTTTCTTTTTGGTTTTCTGTACCTGAAATTGTTGACCCCATCTTCACAGTCACCATGATTCTGAGAAGGAAGGGAGAAGCACTCATTCATGTTTATTTCACGGTGTTCCCCTTCAAATCCTGCAAAGAGAGGTGTGAAGGATGTGGATGAGCAACCCTCATTTCGGAATGTGAATCAGATCAGTGATAAAGAGTCTGGAGAATCTGTTCATGGTGGAAGTTAAGAAAAATTAAATAAAAAGAAAGGGGAAACACCTCATCTCTGGTTTCTAATATGACTGTATTTCATACAATGTATAAATAAAATTATGCTAGTTTCTAATTAAGGAATTCAAATGAAAGAATCAAGGGAGGAATACTTTACTAAATCCCCTGGGAAAGTAGAGTTGCTGCTAATGTTGCTGTTGTTTTAAGATATTTAAGTGTTTGAACAAGAAGTATCAAAATGATCTAGAAAGCAAATGAATAAATGCCATGACCAATCTTAAAGTAAAATTGAGCTTCAATGATCAGATTTATTCAAGGCAGTTAGCAGATGAAGCAAATTATTTAATTGCTTTTCATATCCAAGTCATTCAAACAAAACAAATTATTTTGATTCACAGCCACACAATCAGTCATCCATTTAAACACGGGCCAGTTACATTTTAAAATAACAAAGAACATTAAAAAATATATAAAGTCTGCAAAGAGAGGCAACTGTAATTATTTCAAAACATTTGTGTCAGAAAAATCAGAATAATTATCACTTATTATCACATTAAAACTTTTCTGTATTTATGATAACCATTTACAGTTAGTTCCATGGCTGTATATTAACTAGGTAAAACAAAATATATACTTATACTCATTGTGTCTTGCTAACATTTTTTTATACTAGTTAAAAAATATAAGAAACAAGATTTTCCTTTAATTTGAAGTGGAAATAGACTAAATAACAGAACCAACTGCAGGGTAAGTAAAATAAATTCAACACATGCAACAGACGGTCATATTTCAGAGGAAAGAGGGGAGGGGGGTGGAGGGTAGGAAGAGATTAACCAAAGAAATTATATGCATATATGCATAACCCATGGACACAGTCAATAATGGGGTGAAGGCCTGGGGAGGGAGTGGGAGCAAGGCGGAGGGGGTCAGTTGGGGGGGAAAATGGGACACCTGTAATACTTTCAACAATAAAGATAAATTTAAAAAATAAAAATTAAAAAAATAAAAGAAATTCACTTTTAATATAAAGACAAGTACAGGTTATAAGTAGGAAGATAAAATAAAGATGCATCATGAAATACTAATCATAAGAAACCTGGAGAGCCTATGTGACTGGTAGACCAAATAGTCTTCAGAACAAGCATCATTATTAATTTGTCTTATTTTTTTACACAATTACCAAAACTTCAAGTTAAACTCTGAGGTTGCATGCTTATGATTTTATTCATGAACTAGAGTTGTATCCTTAGCATTAAAAATAAAATTAAAATGAATTATTTCCAAGTTAATATGGTTCTCCTAATTTTAGGTGAGCAAGTTTATTATTCGACACACTTTTTATATTCATCAATCACTATTGCTGTTATAGGTAAATTGCAAATGTCACAGCACAGTTATAAGCAACATAGTAAGCTTTTGCTTTAAATATTTGATTCAAATTTTTTTTTTTTTAAATTGCAACTTAAAGATTTAGAGTTGGATGCATTCCACCATTTTTACTTTTAGTATGACTAGCTTTGTTTGGGAGGCAGGACATGTTGATACTAAGATGTTTCCTATAAATATTCTTTTGAGGACTACAGCTCAGGGGCATTGCTAGTTAGAGTAGTGCCAGTGTGCCTCCCTGAGTTCAGTCGGGCTGATGAATCAGAGCATTCAGGACCTGGGAACTCAGACAGCTCACAGGATAAATTTATTTTCCGTGATTCTACCTCATTCATTTAGTTTGACATTTCTGAGACAGAGCTTTGTTACCAACTAGAAACATATGTCAATGGGCTGAGGAAATAAGATTGCTGAAATAGAGCAGACATGGAGAGAAAAAATAAAGTAGGCATGGATTGCATTTAAAATAAGATGAAGCTTTGCTGAGAAAACTTATGTTTGAGGGATTTAAAGGAAGGATATGTGTACTTAGTCCCAAACTAAACTTTCCATAGTCCTTGATGTTAGCAGTTGCTATTTATTCATGTAAAGGGTACTTATTAGAATACATGCAGTGAGAGCTAAAAGTCTATCAAAATTAAAAGTACAGTGGATTAATTCTATGCTGTTCTCCTGTTATTTATACCTATCCAGAAGTATTCAGCTGACTGTTTTATTAACTGCGTTAGAGTTCTTTACACAAAAATAAAGAGTTGTACTCAAACCAATGTCTTCTGGATCTTTACTTAGTGTCTTGCCTTGGTATTATCATAGCAAATGCCTGTGACTGGTTAATAAATGATATTTTTATACTTCTCCACTCCCCCTTATCATATAAATTACTAAACCTGCTCAAATTTAGGGGCTAAATAAATAACTTAATATTTTCTCATTTCTAACAAATGCAGCCTATTTATAGTAGATTCTCTGGAAAGGATGGCATAGGACAAAGTACATTAACAATAGTTAGGTTTTCATAACCATTTTAGGAAGCATTTTATCATTCGGGGCTCTGTCTTGACAACTATCACATTAGAAGTAATATCAGTTGAAATAATTAGAAGTCAAAGTAAACAGGTAAAACCTAGAGTATATCTTTCATGTAGTCATATAAGATAGTGTCAAAACCTTACATTTAAAACTAAAAGCTAAAATTATTAAAAATAAATTATTTTTAAAAGCATTAAAGCACAATACTTTTATTTCTTCTTAATTAAATAATTTATCTATATCTTAAAACTTTATGAAAAGAAAAAAATAGATTTTTGTCTTCACAAGTCCAAAGGTTTTGTAATTTTTTTCTTTTATTTTAAAACAATTTAATACAAATGTTAATATATTTTTTAAATTACAAAAAAATAGCTGCAGATTTAACTTTGGAAACTATAAACTATCAAGATAGAATATTTCAACAGGTCCTAAAACAATTTTAACACTGACTTTAAGTAAACTTTTAGAAAATAACTATAAAGCTAATGTTTTTATGTTAGCTTTTAGTAATAAATATTTGACATTTAAAGTTAATTGGCCAAAATATATTTTTCCTTTGTAAAACTTTCTCACTATTAATTTCCAAAGCTATTTAAACCTAGTAGACACATGTTATTACATGAGCACATGTTTTTAACTGTCAAAGGTTGTAATTTTTAATTTAGACAAATTATTTTGTCAAGTGACACATTTATTTGGTGCTTGAAATTATACACCTCAGGTAATGTGGCATTACCATAATAGCAGTATATATACTAGAGTAATAGATGCATTTAAATGCAACTGCTTGCCTCCTCTGATAATACAAATCCATCCAGCTTAGAATCCCAATTGTCGATCAATAGCACATGTAAATGATCTGATTCTTCTTTTTGCCACATTTACAAGGTGTCTTCTAGATTTTAATCCTTTGTAAATTGTCACTTATAGAAACTTTTGCTCCTTTTATCTTGGAGACATATGGATGAAGTGGCTACATTTGAAAATTATTCCCTTTAAATTAAATTTAAAGTATTTAATAGGGTGATGTTTCTGCCTATAAACTGAGATATTACTCTAAGTAGGAAGATAAAGAATATTTCCTAAAGAGAATATTATAAAACAAATATATTTTAACAATAAAATGATTTCAGATCTCTTACTATAGACTTACAGATGATAGATAATACAGAGAATCTACTGTATTCAGTACATATTTAGACATTCACGTGCATCTCATCGAAAGTTGAATTCAGTTTATCCAGTCTCTCCTATCTAATTAGCTCTTTCCCCTCACTGTGTGCATCAGACATTACTTTTTGATCACATGCAATAGAAGTAAAAACACTTAGACAAAAAAACGGGATTTATTGGTAGCCTAGCTGGGAAAGATAACAGGCAGTTCGCAGAATTAAAGAAAGAACTATAGGAACTGTGAACACAAGTTCTTTCACAAGCATTTTTTCTCCCACTTCGTGTGAAAGGAACATTAGGTATGGTGTTGGCTGCACCGACAGAAAAACTGGCCAAAAGAGAAAGCCTGTCTTAGCATCCAGTCTAAGGGAGAGCTCTTACTGGCAACATTCCAGTCACAGACCCAGATCAGGGTCAATCCTAGTTGCCAGACAGATGGGTCTTAACGTGAGTTCTTCCAAAAGAGAAATCTCAGATAATGATTTGCAAACAGTAACTTATTTGAGAGGTGATCCCGAGAGTTATTGCAAGGGAGCAGGGAAATAAAATAAGGAAGGGAGTAGCTTTTTGAGCAGGTTATTGCTGTGGGCCACCAAGGCTCCATGCTGCTGGCGATCCTCTTAGAAATCATGTGAGACAACTCAGGGTTGTCACACTAAACCAGAAAGCTGGAGCATGCATCCACAGATCCTCTTTCCTCATGCATAACTCCATCTTAAACGGGAAAGTTCTTACAACGTTGTACGTTAATGTTTAGTTAACTTGTGTGTCTCTCCCCTACTTTTATTTTCAATTCCTTGAGGGCATGTCTTTACCACATTTAATTTCTCCAGAACCTGTCTCAAGACAGGATACACGGTAGGAAATCAATATATATTTGTTGAATCAGTTAATAAAGAATACAATTTTTCAATTTCTAGAACATATCAACATGCAATTATAAGATTGACATGTGTTGTGTCCAGAGCATAGCTTAGAGGGGCAAAAAAATTAGGTGTACTGTGAAATAAATTTTGAGGTGTGTACATTGATTGCATGCTAAATCACCAAAGGTAACACTATTGGAATATCAAGACTAAAATCCATTTGTTTCTAGGAATCTTATGAAATATTTGTCTTTCTGTGTCATATTTTTATATTTATTAAAGCACTGATTTCTTTATCACATAAATTTTTAAACAAATAGGATTTTATATAAAACAAACCTCTATTGAATTACTGATAAATACTTCTCTGTCTACCTATTTTCCACAAAAAAATGTTCAATGTCATAGGGACCAAATTAACTCACCTCAGTTCTAAGCAGAAGACTGGAACACTGTTCT